CTTTGTCGCTCGCGCTTTTGCTTCTAGCGCTTTTATCCAGTCGCGTTTTTGTGCAGTCGTGCGCTTTTGTCCCTCGCACTTTTGTTCCTCGCGCTTCTATCCAGTCGCGTTTTTGTCCATCGCGCATTTGTACTGTCGCGTTTTTGTTCCGTCGTGATTTTGTCCCTCGCGCTTTTTATATCGCACTTTTCTCCCTCGCGCAAATGACACAGATCCCATGCATAAACTGGCATTTTTTAATTGTTGATTTTTTTTTTTTTTTTTTTTTTTTTTTTTTTTTTTTTACGGATATGCGCACTCGCAAGGACAATGTCCTATCACGCTCGAGAAGCGGCAAGTGCGCGGAAATGTCGGTGTATGTTGGTCTTGAAACGGTTCAGGTTGTAACCTGCAGGGAAAACCGTCGCAGGGAGTTTATTCCACAGCGATGCTGTTCTCCAGAGATATGAATTCTGATATAGTGAGGTTCTTGGTGCCTCTAGTTTGACAGTAAATTCATGGTTACCGTCTGTTTGACGCGTTCGCCTGGTAGGTGCTACTCTCGGTGGAATCATACGTGCCAACTCTTCAGAGCATTTTCCGTGATAGTACCTGTAGAAGAGAGATAAATCGCCCACAGATCTGCGATGTTCGAGACCATCCAAGTTACGAGTAAGTGCGGGGTCATTGATCAGCTTGATAGCTCGTTTTTGCACGGTATTCAAAAGCATTAAGGTATGTTTGGGTGCAGCACTCCATATATGTGAGCAGTACTCCATAGTTGGTCGAATCTGGGCTTTGTAGAGTGTCAGCAATTGGCTTGGTGTGTACAGATGTCTTGTACGAAATAGCACCCCCAGCTTTTGGGAGGCCCTTTTAGCAATATCTGCCACGTGACTGTGCCAAGACATGTTGGTCTCTGCAGTAACCCCCAAGATGTTCAACTGACTCTGTAATGTGACAGCACTTCCAGATAGCATGATGTTTGGCTCACCGGTGCTGGTCTTTTTTGAAAACAGAGCTGCTTGGGTTTTCTGCGCATTGAACTGTACAAGGTTTTTGTTACCCCAGTCCTCTATTATCTCCAGGTCGTTATTTATCTGCGATATATGAGTTAGTCTAAGATGATGGAATTCACGTGCGGAAAGCCCTGTGGGTGGTATGAGTGAGGAGACTACATTACCATCGTCTGCAAAGCAATAAAGTGGATTTACTGTTTTATCTATGAGGTCATTTATGTAAATCAGGAAAAGAGTTGGCGAAAGGATTGCTCCCTGTGGCACACCAGCATTTATTTGGTAAGAGTTGGAGTTCTGGCCATCCAGTGCAACATAAATGGATCTGTCCTTTAGGTAACTTTCAAACCAAGTGCAAAGTTTCGGCGATAATCCCATTGCTTTGAGCTTGTTGAGAAGATTTTCATGCCAAACTTTGTCGAATGCTTTAGATATATCTAAGGCAATTGTTCTTGTTTCACCCCGCAACTCAATCGCTTTTTGCCATAAGTGAGTGACGTATGTAAGTAAATCGCCAGTTGATCTATATTTTCGAAATCCGTATTGCTTATCGTTGATAATTTTGTACTTTTCCAAGTACTTGGTTAGGTGATTGTTCACAACTCTTTCCATTACTTTTGATATCACCGGAAGTAGAGCAATTGGTCTATAGTTTAACGGATCTGTCTTTTTTCCTTTCTTTGGAATGGGTTGTACTGCGGCAGACTTCCATGATGATGGATATACTCCTTGCCTGTAAGACAAATTGAATAATTTTGCGAAAGTTGGGGTGAGTTCGTTGGCGCAATTTTTGAGTACTATTGCGGGAATGCCATCCGGACCCATTGCTTTGTTTGTATCCAGCTTTTTTAGGGATTTTCGTATTTCTCTGTGACAAAAGGGTACCTCTGGCATACTATGGGAATCATTCAACCAATCAGATTACGATTACGTGATAATTTGTACTAGTGCAAGATTATCGGATTGGATAATTGCTTAACTAACGGGTGGCATTTGACATTTTTTCTGATTGGTGACATTTTATACTTACGAGGATATACTAAAAATTTAAATTTTTGATTCATGAAATTCTCTCATAAAATACAACTCGAGCAATGGAAATATATCGATAATTTTTGAGAAATTTGCTCTCATGCATTTTTAACTGGAAAAGGCACTCTCGTCCCTCGTGCTTTTTTTCAACTAAAAATGCATTCGGGAAAATTTGCCAAAAATTATCGATAATTTCCATTTTATTCCAATTTAATTTTATTTCTAATTTTATTTTATTTTCTGTATAAATGAGCACACGATATTTCGCTTTCTGATTTTTGAAATCTATAAGGCCTCCAATAGAGTTTTCCTAAGCTAAAGAAAAAAAAAACTGAAAAACTATTTTCAAAAAATTTAGAAATAAATATTTGTTCCAACAAATGTTGAGTTTCACTAATTAAAATATACTTACAGGGTGCATAAAAAATAAAAATCAAGGGTGGGAGATCATTTATAACGGAACACCCTTTTACTCACCTAATTTTATACTGCCATTCGTTTTTTGTGACGATGTCGGTCTAACTTAACGGCAACCTTGCGAAACACAAGTTTTTTTCAAACACGATTTTTTCATGGAGAAAAAGAGCGGCAAATTTTTGGGTTTTCATATTTAATTAGCGGCAAAAAGCGGCAAATTTCCACAGCTTTTCTCTATCACTCCATTTTTCTCTACCGACATTTTTAATGATACTGTTTTGCTCACTTGATGTCAACTTAGCGAAACACATATTTTTTTCAAACGCGATATTTTCCACTCACTCAATTTATCACTACCGACATTTTTAGTGATCTCGCTAACTTTACGTTAAATTAGCAAGACATTATTTTATTTTCGAACACGATTTTCTTATGAAAAGCAAGGTAGCGGCAAATTTTTAGTTTTCACATCTAATTAGCGGCAGAAAAACGGCAAATTTCCATTCACTCAACTTATCACTACCGACATTTTTAGTGATTGTCTCGCTAACTTGACGTCAAGTTAGCGAAACACATGATTTTTTTTGAAACTTGATTTTTTGTAAAAAAAAAGAAGCGACAAATTTTTGGTTTTCACAACTAATTAGCGGCAAAAAAACGGCAAATTTCCATTCATTCAATTTTTCACTACCGACATTTTTAGTGATATTGTCTCGCTAACTTGACGTCAAGTTAGCGAAACAAATGATTTTTTTTTTCAAACTTGATTATTTATGGAAAAAAAAAGAACCGGCAAATTTTTGGTTTACACAACTAATTAGCGGCAAAAAAACGGCAAATTTTCATCTACCTAATTTTCTACTGCTGACATATTTAGTGATGTTGTCTCGCTATCTTGACGTCAAGTTAGCAAAACACGTAATTAAGAAAAAACCAAAAAAGCGGCAAATTTTTTAATTCCACATTTAATTAGCGGCAAAAAAGCGGCAAATTCTTGGCATAACGGAAAATCGATTTTTCGAAGTTGTCTCGCTAAGTTGATAGACATTACTCTGTAACTATTGGACTTTGTTTACTTTTGTTTTGTTTTTGTCGAACTTTTGTACAATAATTGGTTGTTATAAGTTTTAGGCCCTGTTTATTAGTTTATTTATCTTCAAATAAACCTACAAGGTAAATTTACCAATCTATAACCATATTGGTCGTCGGATAACTGGCAGACCAATAGGATTATAGATTGCGTTTTCACCATCAGATTGCATTACCTATTACCTGACAGTTTATCAGAAGGTGAATAAATCAGGACTAGTAAAGACTGGAGTGACACAGGGGAAGGCCCTAATGACTTGAAGTCAAGCTCAAAGTGTAAATTTTGCTAGATTGAGATCCTCTCAGAACTTTCAGTAGGTACAAGTTTGATGACCAGCCTCTTTCACTAATCAATTTGTTAAGAGACCTTGGTGTTACCACCATGCACCGAGTCATGCACTCGTCTCTTTCCGTGGCTTCACATATTTCATGTTTTGCTAGTCCTAAATCATTGAGAATACTTGGGTTCATCAAGCTTTATTTTGGAGAGTTTTCTGGTGAGCACACTCTCTTAAGATACTTTTGAGGATACTTTATAAGGTTCGTTCTAGTGATGACCAAGGTGAGAACCTGTCTTGAATATGATAGAATCGAACAGATACAGAAAAGGTTTCCTAGGAAATATTAACTTTAACTTTGATGATATATGATAATGTGGTTGACTATGCTAGCCTATGTTCCGATTCAAACCACTCCTCCTTTTCATTTAGAAGAAAAGTCCGAGACCATCATCTGCTGTTGAAGATAGTCAACTTTGTCGTTGTTTTTCTTTGATGAGATAAATTTCAACTTATTCTATCAATGCAGTACTAGGTAAGTCCCTCACAGCCGAAGGGCTGTTGTGTTAGCCCTGAAAGGAAAAGAGAAGATTCTAAGTATGAGAGCAGGCATATGAATAACAGCTACAATTTCAACGATTTGGTTCTTGTAATTTATAAGGAACCTGAGCAAAAGAATTGGTAAAAACGGATGAGTTTACTAGAATCGCCTTGCTCATTAAAAGTTCACACTGAAAAAAATGATTTGTTTCATCACTAAAATACCTTGAAATCTTGAACCCCTTGAAAGTTACCTCTTAGATGTTTGAAACACGCGTGCACCGATGTGGCAGTATAAGTAGGACACTTCAAAATTCCTTATTTCTAAACATAAAGTATTTTAATAACAATAATAGTTGCCATATGCCACATCGCATCCTTTCGAGCATCACATGATAAATATTTCAGGAAATAGTCCAAATCCGCCAAAATAAATACTTGGCGTTGATCTCAAAGAATTTACGTAACACGCAAATAAACATTTTTTTCTGATTTGCCTCAATTATCGCGACCATTACCCTCGTTTTGAAGCAGTTTTGATCTAATGGATTTCCGTACATTTTTTACCTTTCCAAATACTCGCGGATTTTATGTTGAAATTTTTGGTTGACAGTTTTGTTGTTGATTTTTCAATTTTCCTTTGTTTCAGATAAATCAGAGTCATGTTCAAAAGTTTCATAAAAGGCGTCACATCCGACAAAGATGATAAAGAAAAACGGAAGAGAGATAAGAAGGACAGGAAAGACAAACAAAAGGTGGACCGAGGGCCACTGTCCGCAGAAGAACTTTTAAGATTAGAAGTGAGTAGATCAGCCCAATGTTTTAGGTCTGGTATCAAACATGTTTAAAATGTTTGAGTATTTTTCATCAATAATCAAATATTAGAGTTACATTCATAAAATGTTGATTTTTATATGTATACAACTTAATACTGTTAAAATTTCGATCGAAACATTGAATAATAATAATTTCCTATTCATATAACTTAAGTTATGCAATCTAATAACGTGATTTTTTTTGCTAACAGTAAAAAGCGCATAAAATGCTAATTACGATGGAAAGTGGACTTGTTCGGAGAGGTATTTATTTATTATTGTGGGTTTGGTGCCTGTTATAAACATTGTAATATTTTATGATGTAATAATTTATTGAGGCTGGAAGGCAAGTGTTGATATATTGCCGATTTGCTTGTAGTAATTATACGGTCTTTAATTCTACTATTAGTGTAGGTATGTTCAAAAAATGTCATAAACTTGGTCGATGTTAAGGTGAAACACGCTTACACGCACCTAATTATTGGTAAAAGGATGAGAGGCAGACGCATGGGAATTTTTGAACGATTATAGTAGCCGGTCGTCTGACATTAAGCCACATTAATTGCATAAGGAATGTGCATAAACATTTTCTTGGTTGTCTGTAGACTCACCTTTGGGTACTTTTTTTTTTTAAACGTAATGTCTTTCTAGTGAAGTTTTGGAAAGCACAAGAACAGTATAAGATTTGTTTAATTGAAAGAAAAAATGCAATAGAAGTATCTTTGCCAAACAATCACCAAATGAATATAAATAGTGAAAATGGAAAAAGAGAATAAATAACAGGGAAAAATTATAGTTGCAGAATAATACTTTTTGGTTAATTTAGCAACAAAAACTACAAAAACTAAAAGATAAAAGCTCTGATAAAACCTTTCATAGAAAGAAGAGGACTACAGAGCCAGCTACTTCACAATGTCCTATATAATTACTTATGTGTAATACTCAACATAACATTTTTTTCTGGTTCTATGTATGTAAGTTTCTGTTTTATTATTTACTAGCTGACCCGGCGAACTTCGTACCGCCTCTGAATTATTAAATATACCTATTAAATGTTGTGTTAACGTATCTATTAGCTGAATTAAATTCAGTTTTTTTCGATGGTGAATTTGGCTTTGGTTGAAGAAAATTAATGTTTACTCTCTGGACGACTCTGGATCAGAAGTCACCTAAAATTCAAATTTTACATCATCCTTTTTTAGGCAGCTTGTGGGCATTATTCTTGTAAAGTGTACCACCAAATAAATAAACTCAGGCACAGGAATGTTCAAACAATGTAAAGAACACAAAAAAAATCTTTAGCGCAGCCCTGTTTCACTCTATCTGCACTGCATGCACTGCACTACTCCATCTGTTCTACTCTTTCTGCACCACTCTATCTGATCGGAATAGTGGAATTGTTCTGTTCGAAATAGCTCCAGTTCCTGAGCAGCATTGTTCTACTGTATCTGCAATGCCGAGCTTCGTTCCAGGTATCAGAGATGGCGCGGTATACAAAATACAAAATAAACTTGGTATCGGTTATAAGAGATGGCGCCATATGCGGGCTTAGTAAATGTTTTTCATAAATAAATAAAATAAGTAATGAAATGACCACATTAATGACATAACAACATGCTGGTACTGTCAACGCTGAAAAAAGTTTCATTTTGACAGAAAAATCCCATTAACAAAATGATCCTCCATTTATTGAATAATTCATTTATTACAAAAAATGTGATAAATGAAGAACCGCTCGACCGATTTTGTGCAAACTTCACATAAACCATCTAATAAATAGTCCGAACAAACCCTAAACATTTGGTTTGGCTAGGTGAGCCCGTTCTTGAGTTATAAAATTACAACGAAAAGTGGCATTAATTTTTATATACAGGGTGTTAATAAATAGTGGGATCAAACTTCTAGGATCAATAGTACTCATTAAAATAAGAAAAAAGTTAATAGAAGCATGGGTCCGCGAATGCTTAGTTTTCAAGTTACAGGGTGTCAAAGTTTGAAAAAAAATCGGTTTTTTAACCTCAAAAATCCCTCTTTCAATTTTCTTTTTAAATTTGGCAGGTTTGTTTGTGATAACACAAGGTATCTTTTGAGTTTTGACTGTAATATGACTTATCTGCAAAAATATTAAAGTTATAAAAAAATAGTCACATGCCATTTTTTTCCACTTATACCAACGTAGTTGTCCTCTGGGTCGCCACTGGAATAATTACGGTAAATCTTATTGAATCAAAGGATACCTTTTGGTATTATTACAAACAAATCTGCCAAGTTTAAAGAAATTCGGGAAACGGATTTTGAAAAACCTATTTTTTTAAACTTCGACACCCTGTATCTCGAAAACTAAGCATTTGCGAACCCATGTTTCTATCAACTTTTTTCTTATTTTAATGAGTACTATTTATCCTAGAAGTTTGATCCCACTTTTTATTAACACCCTGTTTATAGACTAGCGGATACCTGGCGGTGCTACTACGCTAAACTTTTTCCCAAAATGACAACAGACACTTTGACTCACAACTTTGTTAATTTCAATCCGATCTTAACGAAATTGGGCTTCAATTAAAGACAATTAAATAATCTACAAATCCTCAATAAACAATTTCATCCCAGCTTTAATAATTTTGCTTAAGCTTCAAAGTCTTGACTATGATTTTTATCACGAAAATGACACTAACATACATTTTGCCTCACAACTTTGTTTATTTATATCCGATCTCAACCTAATTAGGCTTCAATTAAAGCCAATCAAATTCTCTACAAATAAATAATATCAATCCAGCTCCAATGGTTTTGCAACTAGGACGCTGGCAATTTAAATGTAATTAAGATCAAAATTCATGAATAAAAAGCAATTCAAGAGCCTGTAATAGACAAAAATTGAAATAAAATAAGTCCGGACACTCGTTTCAAAGGCCCTTTGTGCCATTAAATTACTCAAAAATACAAGTTCCACAACCAAAATGTAACAATATTAAGTATATTAAAAACAATTTTCCCCAACTTGAATTTTGAATCTGGAAGTTGTTCTGGGAGTTGTTGAAAATCAATCTGTAAGTCTTAGATATTCTACATAGAGGCAAAATCAAGCATCTTTTCTTCTGGAAGAACTAACCCAAACTAAAAACATTCGAAAGCAATAAGCCCAATATCCACACCAACCTAGGTACGAGCTGTCGGTGCGTTTTTTTTAGAGTGGTATCCCCAGTAGGCCTAATCCAATGTCCACTCGAAATCACACTTGTGCAGCCAAAACCGTCAACTATCCATTAATCCAACCTTCACTCGCCAGCTAGGAATGCACCACTTACCATTAATAGTATATTAGTGTGACAGAAGGGGTCCAGGACAACTATGGCATTAGCCTTCCCTGCCTTGAAGATTCAGTCAAATCATGAACTGTTTTTTGGGAATCGACACATATGTAATTTCACCTGGAAGAGAAAAGTAATAATCAGCAACTGGATCCGTGCAGTCATGTCCACCATTTCCATTCATTTGTGGCCATCTCCAGAGCCAAAACCAACTTGCTTCCTGGTTCAATTTGGAAAAGGGATGCCTGGAAAACAACTTAATGTTAGTGAAAATTGAATGTAGAAATGTTGGAAATTACCTATTTCAGCTTCCAATGATATATTGTTTTAGGGTTTACAATGTTCTGAAACACACAAAACAAAAATATATTCAGCTGTTAATATTCTGGAAACAACTTATGTCCAGGAAGCTGCCTGATGATGTTGATATTGTCTTCATCTGGAACACACAAATCAAAATTATCGAAGAGAGCATTCAGCTGTTCTGTGTCCCTTGGGCTTGATCCACTATTGAAATTACATTGTATCGAAACCCAACAGCATCCATAATTTAACCCCTTCTCGCCAGTATCAGTTTTGCCGCTACTACTCTTACCGTGATAGTATATTAGTGCAGCAAATGAGATCCCGGACATCTATGGCATTAGGCTTCTCCGCGGCGCAACTGGTACCAAAAAGAAACGCTCAAACCACAAATGTTGGTGGATATTGGTAAAATGCAACACCAAATTTTTGATTTTGCGTGAATGAAAAGTTTACAACCCAATGCTCAATTAATATGTGGAAAAAGTAGGTACTATTACCTTGCGTTTTTTTGTTTTGGAACTTAACTCAATTCAGATTTTTACCAGAAATAATTAAGAGTTTATTTCACTTGATTAGGCTCAAAAGATTCTGGACTTTCTTGGGGGAAGCTCACCTAAAAAATATAATTTTTTTTATGGATATCAATGAACTCTTTTACATTAAATTTTTTTCTGGAAAACTACTGAAGGGAAAATTGTGAAACTTCCAGGAGGAAGAGAGGAAGGTTAGGAGCTCATCATACTAAAATTTGAAGCTCATATCCAGTGAAAATTAACAAAATGGGAAATTAATGGAAATCAACTTGCAAAATTCAAAGTAAGCAAAAATTAACCCTCTTGCATTTTGATTTTTTTCTGGAAAACTCCAAAAGGGAAAATTATGAAACTTTCTGGGGAAAAAGAGGAAAGTTAGGAGCTCATTATACTAAAATTTCAAACTTATCTAGTGAAAAATAACAAAATGGGAAATTAATAGAAATCAACTTGTAAAATTCAAATCAAGCAGAAATGCAACCTCTTGCATTTCAATTTTTTTCTGGAAAACTACTGAAGGGAGAATTATGAAACTTTCAGGGGAAAAAGAGGAAAGTTAGGAGCATCATTAAACAAAAATTTCCAGTGAAAAATAACAAAATGGGAAATTAATAGAAATCAACTTGCAAAATCCAAATTGAGCAAAAATGCACCCTCTTGCATTTTAATTTTTTTCTGGAATACCACTGAAGAGAAAATTATGAAACTTTCAGGAGAAAAAGAGGAAGGTTAGGAACTCATTATACTAAAATTTCAAACTTATCCATTAAAAAATAACAAAATGGGAAATTAATGGATATCAACTTGCAAAATCCAAGTTAGGCAAAAATGCACC